GACGAGAGAAGCCCTGCCTCTCAGCCCCTCCTGGGGAAGGCAGAGGATCCCCTGTGGTCTGGGAGCAAGGCCAGCTCCCTGGCCCTGCCTGACTCAGCCAGCCGGGGCTTAGTGGACTGTGAGATACTTGAGGCACCCCTCCACACACACGCTGGGAGACAAGGCCCTCCATTTTACAGACAGGGAGACTGAGGTTCAGAGAGGGGAGTGATTTGCCCAATGGGATTGCACAGTGCAGGGGGGAAGCAGAGAATTTGGAGAAAAATGTCAGTAAAATTAGGGCTCCTGAGGGACAAGTGAAGGCAGGAAGTGGGGAACAGATGAGCAGTGCCGGGCTGTCTGGGAGCAGTGAGGTGCTCACAAAGCTGTAACCTTCTCAAGTGTTGGAATCTTATGGGAAATTTCCTTCATGGCTCCTAAGGACAGACAGGTTGCTGGGCCCATGGCAGAAGAGAAATACTTATCTGCTCATTAGCTGGGTTCTTTGGTGCTAAGGTCTGTGAATGCACAGGAAGAACTTGGCAGCTTTGTGGATGAGGGCCTCTGAGATAAGAGCCTAACTAATAGAAGAGAAAGCATTCAGCCCTCTCTGGTACCCTAGATCTTTCCCTGGGGTGGAGGGGTGTCTCCGGTATCTACCCCATAGGCTTTTTCACTTCACATCATCATCACATGGGATGAGAGATCCATGGACTTCGTCATCACTGGAAGAGCCCACATCCAGGAAAACCGGAGGTGACGTCACTGCCACTTTGCACAGGTGTGGGGCTGCGCCTTGCTGAGGCTTCACCCCTGCGGCTGTGAGGGTCTCAGCTGAGGCCCTGTGGGGAAGCTGTGGGGAGGGCCACAGTCAGGGAGCAGAGGGAACCAGGATCGAAGAAACTGGCTCCTCACTTGTCCCTTCTGTCGCCACCCTGTCTTCTCAACAGGCCTTTCCAGGATGGGATGTGTCTCTGCAGGGTCCTTTTGTCCTTGTTAGTGGCCAGGGCTGGATGCAGTGACTTGGAGGGAAGAGAAGGCAGGGAGTCTGACTCTGTGTGGCTCAGTGGGGGTGTCAGTGCCCTTCTCTGAGTCTTAGTTTCCTTTGTTTTCAAATGAGGGACTCGGCTTTCACAGTTGGTAAAGGATTACACGCTGCCGAAACCTGTGTAGGACAATTTGGGAGAAGGATAGAAGCATATTTGCCACAGGTGAATCATGGCTGGAGCCCAGACTGGGCCTCCTCGCCATGTCCCCTCCCCAGAGAAAGCCCTCCAGGGGCCCCCACCACCAGTATGAATCTCCCCTTCCTTGGGCTAAACAGAAGAAGCTCCAGCTTCCCTGGGACTTGGCTGCCGTGCCTTATGTTACAGTCAGTGGGTTACTGCCCACCTCCCCTTTGGGAATGTAAGATCTTTAAGGCAGGGGCAGGCTTCTCAGGAGCTGTTTGGCCATCTCAGGTGTAAATGTGGCAGCGGCTGAATCTCATGCAGCCTGAGCTGCTTCAACTTTCTTAGCTGTCCCTCTCCTGGGGTACTTTGGAGAATGAACCTGTACCCCAGAAGGCCCAGTTTCCTGCATTTGGTCTGGTTGACAGAACTCTGACCCTGGTCCTGATGCAACCTGTGTGCTACAGGCCTTGGGTGAGGTATTTCTCCTCCCTGGGCCTCAGTTTCACCAGACTGTCTCCAAAGTCCCTCCAGTTTGAACATTATATCCAGTCTATGCTCAGAAATTCATTTGGTCCTATAAACTGCCCTGTCCTTCTTTGCTCATTTGTGTAAATCTGCATGGAGCCTCTAACAGTCTCTGTGTTTTTCTGTTGATCTGCTTTTGCTTTGATTTCTGGCTTTTCCCCTGCCATAAGTGACATGAATGAGGAGTGGATAAAATGGACAGAGACCATGTCTTGTCTCTGTGACCCCATCATATAGCACAAGGCCTGCGACATGGTATGTGCCCTGTAAATGCTTGTTGAAATGAAATGGCCAAGAGGGGAGTTCAGTGGGTACCTGGAGAGAAGGGGAGGCAGGAAGGGGGTGCATGGGGAGCATCTGACTTGGAGGGTTGGGGGAGAAGCATCAGGGAGGGAGGTGAGTCAATGTCTCCACCTGTAGATTCAGCAAGAATGGTGAAATGGGGTCCCAGAGGGTGTGACAGGTGTCCAAGGTCATACAGCTGATTGGGGACAGAGCTTAGAGCTCAGCTCCTGACTTCTGACTCTGAGATGCCAGGTTGATGCTGGAGAGGTTTGGAGATCAAGCTGGAGGGAGAGTCTGACTGGGGGCTCTCTCCCCACATTACCTCTCCCTCTGACTGAAACAGGGGCTGAGCTCAGTTCTCCACTTATAAGGAGCTAGGCACCTGTGGGAAGGGGCAGCCCCTCTAGATGGTGAGGGACCCCAGACTGTGAAGTGGCCTGTGAGAGACAGAATTCAGTTGGAAAGGTCAAAGGGCAGTGTGCATGGTCCTATATTCCTTTGGGATCCAAGCCGGGTTCTGAGGAAGGGAGTGAAATTCTCTGCCCTACAGGTCTTGGAGAATCAGGGGAAGCCTGGCGAGACCAGACTGGTGTAACAGCAGGGGACAGGACCCCAGGGCCACTCAGAACCACTCAGAACATCCCCACATCTGTGATCCAGGAGGGAGTCTGGGAATCATATACAGCACGCAGAGCCAGCCTGCCTCTAACATCTGGCATTCCCGGCAGCCTGCCTCTGCTCAGCCATTCCCACCACTGCCACCAGGTCATCCAGGGCTCGCACCTGGAGTGGGGGTGGGCAGGGGGCTCATATTGCTTTAGACCCCCATCCCCTCAGAGGGGATTAGAGCATTCACCCCCACTGGGGGCTCAAGGAAGAGGGCTCAGGGGCAGGCTTTGAAACTGGGGATGTAGGTCTAGAAGGATGCTGGGATGCATTCTTCAATGGGTAAGAACAGGGCCTAGCCAGCTTCTCTATCCTACACTCCCCTCCCTATTTCACCAGCTCTGCTTCCAGAGCCCTTCTCCAGGCCACTCAGAGGAGATGGGTGGGAAGCCCCTAGGTCCAGACCACCCTCCACTTGCCCAGGACTCTGTTGCTTTGACTGGACCCCATGCCCTAGATGGAGCTCTCCGAGGGAAGGCCAATCAATCCCCGAGCTCATCAAACTCATAGGGTTGCACTCTGCTTGCAGGGAGCCCTCGCGAGTGATGGGGGAGGCCAGACACTAATGTATTCAGGATATAGGTGCACGGAAAGACAGCAGAGTGTAAACGAAGTGAATATTGAAGGCTTGGGGTGCAGAGAAAAGGGTAGATAGAATTTGGGTCACAGAGTCTTGGCAGGCTGCATGGAAAACAGGGGCCTGGAACCTAAGGAGGAGAGGAGAAAGGGATGCTGCTTTAGACAGGCAAAAGGCTTAGGAGAAGGGGAGAGCCCCAGCGTATGACTGCCCTCAGCTGAGGTGGGTGGGAGATGGAAGCACAGCTCTGAGGAGCTTCCCCAAGGAGAGTGAAGAGCCTGGGAGAGAAGAGGCAGGAGGCTGGGAGGCCAAGGAGATGGACCCGGGCAGTTCTCCTGGGGCCCGAGGCGCTGAGGGAGTGGAGGGAGGATGCAGAGTCCTCACAGGGTGAGGGAGGATGGAGGGGATGCAGGGGCCTGGAGGCAGGTCTGGCCTGGAGCCCTGACCGCACTCCTCCTCCCCTGTGCCCATCCTGGCCCACACTGACTGTGCCCCAGGCCAGCTGTATCCCAGCCCCCAGCACCCTCCAAGCAGAGCCAGCCCCGAGCTGGTGCCCAGAGAGCAGGGCGCTGCAGCTGCTGAAGGTTCAGCATGGAGACTTGGTGGGGGTTCATGGGAGACTGCTAGGCGCCACTTAATAGGATTTTAATTATACAGCTCCAGCAAGAATTTTTCTCCCCCCTGGGCTTGGGCCCTCACAGATAACTCCATCTTCACCTCAGCATCTTCCCAGCCTTGGCAGCCAGGTCTCCTGGGCCCCCACTGCCCACTCCCACCTACCATAGCAGGGCTCTGGCCTATCTCCTGGGGACTCCAGGAGGGCCTGGCATCTGCCCCCAGAAATCATGGGAGGACACTGGCCCCTGAGGAGGGCCCTGCCAATGGAAGCTCCTCCAAGGTCTGCATCCAGGGCTGTGCAGGGCCAGAACTGACTTGGGTGCTGGGCAGAAAGGGTGTACCCCCCTTCCACTCACTGTGGACTCAGTGCTCATTTTTCCAGGGTGATTGTGCCCCACACCAGGGCCCTTGCATGATGAGTGTCTCATGGGTCACTTGCAACAGCTCTGGGTGGCAGGCAGGGCAGATAGAGTGATAATCTCCATTTTTTTAAAATTAAAATGTGACATTTATTTTAACATAAGAATTCGGCGTGGAAGAGTGAAACACAACACACACATGGTGCACCAAGTGGCAGCCCTGAAAAGCCATGCTGCAGGGAAGATGAAGAGTCCTGGTGTAGTCATTTTGAATCATACGTAAATGAAATCATCTCTGAAGGATTTGGCAAATATTTATTTTTTTCTGTCTCCAGTCTTTCAAAATAGCTACCAATTTGTTTAATGAAGCTGCTTCTAAGAGCACACAAAACGTGAGCACACAGCATAGATGAAACCCAGCGATCTGGAGTGATGGGTGATGCAGGAGTGAGCCCAGTGGGCGCCCTGGGTGGGCTGCCCGGCCACGGTGTCCCCCGACTGCCGGAGAGCATGGGAGGTCACCGCCCTGCAACTCGGGGCTCAGTGGCACAACAGAGTCCATATTGTGCCGTGCGTTCCATTTATCATGTAACAAAGAACTGTCAGAGTTCAGCACAGTCTTTAAGTAGATGACCTGCATCCACATCACCGTCCACCCTAAGTGGTGTGAATGTAAGGCCACAGTATGTACTGGGGACAAACCTCCTATGGATCATTTTACTGTCATCATCATTCTTCTGAAATAGGAAGTGTTTCTGAATTAAGGTTACAGACAGTTTTTCTTAAAATACTACATACATTATGACTAGTATGTTAAAATTATTTATACTTAAGATATTTTAATATCCAAAGGAAATTTACTACCAAATTATTACAGTCGATATTAATCAGTATGGCATGCTTATTCATTGATCCCATAGGTATGAGTATAGATCAGCATGATTTTAGTGTCTTCTCTTTCATTTTACTAAGTTAGGAACACAGCATTTACAGAACACACACAAACGGTGCACCACCCCAGGACTGGGACAGCTCCTTGGGCAGCTGCGCTGCAAGCTCCGCTAAGCCCCGCAGGGGAAAAAAGCCGATTCCAGTTCTTCCTCAGAAGGTACTGGTGGAGGTGGTCAGGCGCCTTCCAATATAGATCCCCAGTCCAATGGCCAGGAGGTGGGAGAGCAGCAGGGACGGGAGGAACACCTTCAGGAACTCAGCCGAGAAGATGCCGCCCTTCCTCATGACGCTCATGTTCCTCATGCTCAGGGCGGTGGCACGCCTAGGGTGTCTGAAGAGGAACTCCTTGAGGGGCACATTTTTCAGCCAGCTCGACCATTCCCAGATCCAGTCCGAGTTCTTCTTCAGGATCCTCTCCACCTCCTTTCTCCTCTCCAAGTAGTCTTCCTCGGACTGGATGCTCTTCTTCTCCCCGACGCTGTGGGAATCTGCCTCCGAAGCTCTGTTATTATCCTGTGGGGTCTGTGAGCGAGGCGGACTGTCACAGTGAGAGCTCTTGGAGCTGCTCCATCCAGATTCATGCTGGGCGTCCCGCAGTATTTTCTCCAGGTCACCATTATAGAGACAGACCGAGGCAGGGACGCCGCTCCCGTTTGAGCCATGGCTGAAGTGCAGCTCAACCCAAGAGCCCTGCAGGTTCTCCTCCTGCAGTCCGGGGATCCCGCTCTGCGACATGGCACCGGAGGGAAGGCGCTGCAGCCGACGGGCCGGAGCCCGGGTCGAGGTCGGGGCTGATAATCTCCATTTTATGGATGAGGAAACTGAGGCTCTATGAGTTTTAGTGACTTGAACTTAAGGACACGGGGGTAAAAAGTCTGGACTCCAAGCTGTCTGGCTGTGCCCCTGAGCTGCCATTCCCCTGCACTCCATGCCCCAGTCAGGGGGAGCCACGCAAAGCTCCTCTGTTTGGAAAGCTCTCCTCCTTTCCCACCCTATCTCCTGCTTACCCTTCAGGCCCGAGATGCCTCGGCCCTCCCAGGCTGGGTTAGGGTCCCTGCTCCCATGTTCTCCCAGCTCCTGCATTTGGCGGCCATAAACCCATTCACACTATACTGGATTGCCTGGCTAATCTGTCCAGATTGCCATGGGTCTAGAAGTCCCTCAACACATCAAGACAAACCTTGCTGATGCCCCCGGCCCAGCACTGAGATCCTCCTCACCCAGCTGTGCTCTGTAGCATGAGTGCTGACCCTCTCCTGCCCTTGGCCTGCTCCCCTGTGCCTGCCCAACCTCCCAGTGAAGCCAATGTCAGCCACAAGCATGGTAGGGTAACCAAACGGTCTTCTTTAGTGGCAGCCCTTTATCTGAGTGAGGCTTTTTGGAAGAGTCCTTATTATATTTTTTAACACCTACTTTTGGTTTTAGAGTAACTTTAGATGTACAGAAAAGTTGCCAAGACAGAACAGACAGTTCCTATACACCCCTCCCAGCTTCCCCTGCTGTTAGCAGCCTAGATCACTGAGGTACCTTTGTCCCAGCTAAGAAATAACATAAGTATCTTACAAGTAACTAAATCCAGCATTCTATGTGGGTTTTACCATTATATTTTTTTAATTCCACAAGTAATAGGTGAATACATTATTACAGGAATTTCAACAATGTTGGAAAATGAACAGTAAATTGGATCTCCCTCCCCCACTCCCCCCAGGCCCCTCCAACCTCAGGGTAATTCTTCTGTCCCCTCTATGGCATGCGTTCTTCCTGCCCCTTTTTCACCAGACAGTGGGGTGTGAGGTCTGGCATTCAGCACCTCGGATGGCCAGCTGTTCACGCCTACCCTCTCCCCTCCTGCGCTGAAGGTGCTCCTTCCCCATCCCCGCCCATCCCTCTAAGCTCTGCTCAGCCCGTGCTTCCTCTGGGCAGCTCTGAGGAGCTACCTGCCCCCAGCAGCACCCCTTCCTCTCACTGTCCACTCCACCACATCTTTGCATCCCTCCCCTTGCCCGGCAAACAGCTGGGGATGATGACAGCACTCCCCACACCCTGCTGCTCCCTGCGCGGCCTCCAGAATGCAGGAGGTGACAAGACTGTGAGTGAAGAAGTGAGCCAGGGCTTTAGGAAAGTCACCCGGATGCAGCCAGCAGTGGGCAGTGGCTCCAGTCCTGTAATGGATGACCGGGGCTGCAGAGCTCAGGCGAGGTTCACCTATCCACACCCAAGGCTGGTTTCTACACAAAACTTCCACCTGGTGTGGCCTCTGTTCTTTTCTGCCTTGGCCTCAACTCACCCCAGCCAGAGGAGGAGGCTGTACCCCAGCCTTTTCTGTGTCATCTATACCTCCGTCCACAGCACTCCCTAGAGGGCAACCTGACCACTATTGCTTCAGCCTACCTGCCCTCATCAAAGCGTCTTCTGCTTCCCTCCCAGCCTCCGGTAGGCTGCTACCACCCACCATCACAGAGAACTTATCTTGTCCTCCTCCCCACTTATGCCAGTGAGCCTACCCCATGCTCCCCCACAAGGCCTGGGCATAGGGCTGTGCCTGAAAGGGGGCTGCTGCCTGTGGTAGCAACCCAGCGCCCTGAGGAGCCGATCATCCTGACCTGCCACTGGCCAGTCCATTCATCCCCTTGCCTCAGTGCTGTGCCTGCCTCTGCCAATCCCAGCAAAAGAAAGGAATCCTGGTGAAGAAAACGGCTGGTACCACTCCCAGTGTCTGTTCCTCTGGCCTCTGAGCCTTCTCTGTCTCCGGTCTCCCCCCGGCTGCCTAGGCCAGAGGACAGAGCAAGAAATGGAAGGGCTCCTGGGGCTGAGGAGCGATGGAGGTTCTTGCCCAGGGAAGAGGACAGTGAGGGGGACCTCAGTGGGTGCCCCTAATTCCAGGGTGACAGGGTTGTGCCCCCAGGGTCACCGGGGTAGGTCTGCAGCAGAAAGCCAAAGCCCTGGGGGGTCCAGGTCTCCCGCCCTGTGAGGCCCAAGCCTGGGAGAAGCTCTTTAGCTGGACAGCCAGGGGCTGGGGGATTGCGGCATTGAGGCAGGCTGCTGAGGCAGGAGATGAAAGGCCATCAGGCGGGGCTGGTGGAGGCGTGGGGAGGGGGGAAGGAAGATAAGCATCTGCAAGGGCTGCCAGGTGTAGACATGAGTGTGGAGGACGCGGGAGGAGTTTTAGCCCTTGGGATCAGGGCAAGGAGCCTGGATTTGGAAGGGTGCCCTGTGAGGTCATCTTGTCCAGCCTTATGCCCCCAGGCACTCGGCCCCAAACCAAGCAGGCCCTGCTTCTGGGGCTTCTGGGCTGGGTGCTCCTCCCTGGCCCAAGCCTGCCCACCTTGCACCCGTTCCAAGCAGTGGTCCCCAAAATCTCACTCAAACCTTCTTTGCGTTTACAGATACTGTCCTCCATGGGGAAGGTCAGCTAGCCCTGGCCCTTGGCCAGTCACTTGCTAACTGCTGGAGTACGTCGGGTAACTCAGGACTGGGTCCACCTTGGCCACCTTTTCCCTTGATTCTGAATTTCTTTTACTTTAGTTGTAGGATTATTTGTCCATGTCCCCCAACCCCACTTTTAAGAGAAGTTTCTAGACACCACGGAAAAAAGGAAAAGGAAATGTCTTGCTTCCTAAACATTTCTCTTAACCTTTCTTCAATATTCTAGACCCACACCTACTACTCTGTCTAGGCTGCCATCTTTTCTCACCCAGAAATTATTTCAACAGTCTTCCCTAAAAGTCCCCTCACCCCTCTCTAATTCCCAAAGTTTCCACAGCAGTCTTAAGCTTGAGAATCTAATCATGTCACTTCTCTGCTCAATACCCTTCAAGGCAGCATTGCCCATAGAGCTGGCCAGCCAGAGGCCCCCTGGCTCCAGGCCCCTCAAAGCATAATCAGGGCACAGATGCTCCATTTTTTAAAGAGCCCTAGGATGTCTAGGTTATTTGGGATCTAGTATTGAGTGCTTCGTGGCACAGTCCATAACTTTAAACATCCACTTTGAGATTAACACCAATCAAGCCTAAGGAATGCTTCTTGTTCTAAGTTCTTAAAACCAAAAGCAACTGTGTCTATAAGCCCTCAGTGTGTGCCTCTGCCAGTAACAGAGATGGACATTGTTGGAATAAAAAGTACATGGACATTCTTGCTAAATCCTTCCTTCCAGATAGCATACATGTGACAGATTATTGAAAACAATTCAACAGTAACGCAATGGATTTTAAATGGATAACAAAATGTCCTAGTAGTGTCACAGATCTGTGTTCTTGCTTCTCTTTGAGTTCCAGAAGGACACACAATTAGTATGGTATTCAGAACAGATGCACATTGCAAGTGAGAAACATTTTACTGTACGAAATAATTCATACAATTCTTAATTTGTTTAAATGTAGGCCTAGAGGTAATATACAGGAAATTTGATGGTGAATCTTTATCTTGGTAATTTGAAGGGTGATGAACCACTGGAGTTACAAAGCACTGTATTTTATGAAAGTATCTCGTCATTTAACTATACTTACAGCATTTTAAATGAAAAATTTAAGCTTAGATTTATCTCAATGATTTTAATTTACTATTTTGATATTCATTAGCTATGATTTGCATTTTGCCTCTTAACTTTAATAGTTACATTATTTTAGTCACATAAATATTCAGCCATATAAAAACCATGGTTTTATGCAAAAATTTTCAATTTTGTTGTTATAAAGGCTTATTGTCAAGGAAGGCAAGAAGAACATATTTATTTACTTAGCAATTTGGTATCTTGATTTGTGGGCCTCTGTATTGCACTCTTGTCCTGGGCCCCACACACTTTAGGGGTAGCCAGCTTCATTGCCCACCATTTCCTGCTGGACTCCTTAGCCTGGCCCACAAAGGCCTCCACAGCTGTCCTCTGCCTGCCTCTCCAGGCCCATCCACTGGATGTCTTCACACAGTCCTGGACTGGGGGGTTTTCCAGAACATGCTGTGCCTGCTCTGTTCCTCAGACAACATCTCCTTCCCTCACCATTGTTCCAGGGGAAAATACCATCTCCTACTTCCAGTCTCAGCCCACATGTGCCCTCCCTGGCTCCAGCAGGCTCACAGGTGCCCGTCTGGAGGCTCTGCTGTTCGGAAGGTGCCTGTTAAAGAGGTTCTTCCACCTCAGGGTGAGGCTTGTAGGCTGCCTCCTGCAGGCAGCAGCACCTTCGTGTGGATGGAGTGGACAGGGGTTCCAGGAGCAGGCAGGCGCCTCAGTGGAGGAGGGCAGGGGCTCCGTGTGGTGACCAGGGCTCAGTTCCGACCCTCAGTGCTGGGACCACAGGAGCTCTGATACCTCTGAAGTCTGGAGGACTTGGACCCTATAGAAACTAAGAATCTAGGGAAAACTGGCTGAGACATTAGTCTTTGCCCAGGTCTAAACCACCTGAGTGGGCCCCAGAAAGCGCAAGGTTGGCAGAAACCCACTGACCTCCCTGCCAGCTGCCTTGTGGCTGTGGGGTGGAGGGAGGAAAGGGGAGGCAGGACGCCAGGATGTCGTCGGAGCGGGTGGTGGGGTTCAGACGGTGGAAAGAGGCAGGGGCCAGTGAGGTCTCTGCTCCCTGAGGGGGGGCCTCTTGCTGACAGAAGAGCGGGCAGGTGGATTTTGAGGGAAGCACTGCCTTCTCTCTCCTCCGAGGACAGCTTCAAACGTACTGGAACCCCAGTGTTTATCGGGCACTGTGACGTCCCAGATGCTGTGCTGATCTCCTTCCCTCACTTTCCCTAGAGAACCACAGCCTGCATGTCAGGGTGGCACTCAGGCAAAAGGCTTAGGAGAAGGGGAGAGCCCCAGCGTATGACTGCCCTCAGCTGAGGTGGGTGGGAGATGGAAGCACAGCTCTGAGGAGCTTCCCCAAGGAGAGTGAAGAGCCTGGGAGAGAAGAGGCAGGAGGCTGGGAGGCCAAGGAGATGGACCCGGGCAGTTCTCCTGGGGCCCGAGGTGCTGAGGGAGTGGAGGGAGGATGCAGAGTCCTCACAGGGTGAGGGAGGATGGAGGGGATGCAGGGGCCTGGAGGCAGGTCTGGCCTGGAGCCCTGACCGCACTCCTCCTCCCCTGTGCCCATCCTGGCCCACACTGACTGTGCCCCAGGCCAGCTGTATCCCAGCCCCCAGCACCCTCCAAGCAGAGCCAGCCCCGAGCTGGTGCCCAGAGAGCAGGGCGCTGCAGCTGCTGAAGGTTCAGCATGGAGACTTGGTGGGGGTTCATGGGAGACTGCTAGGCGCCACTTAATAGGATTTTAATTATACAGCTCCAGCAAGAATTTTTCTCCCCCCTGGGCTTGGGCCCTCACAGATAACTCCATCTTCACCTCAGCATCTTCCCAGCCTTGGCAGCCAGGTCTCCTGGGCCCCCACTGCCCACTCCCACCTACCATAGCAGGGCTCTGGCCTATCTCCTGGGGACTCCAGGAGGGCCTGGCATCTGCCCCCAGAAATCATGGGAGGACACTGGCCCCTGAGGAGGGCCCTGCCAATGGAAGCTCCTCCAAGGTCTGCATCCAGGGCTGTGCAGGGCCAGAACTGACTTGGGTGCTGGGCAGAAAGGGTGTACCCCCCTTCCACTCACTGTGGACTCAGTGCTCATTTTTCCAGGGTGATTGTGCCCCACACCAGGGCCCTTGCATGATGAGTGTCTCATGGGTCACTTGCAACAGCTCTGGGTGGCAGGCAGGGCAGATAGAGTGATAATCTCCATTTTTTTAAAATTAAAATGTGACATTTATTTTAACATAAGAATTCGGCGTGGAAGAGTGAAACACAACACACACATGGTGCACCAAGTGGCAGCCCTGAAAAGCCATGCTGCAGGGAAGATGAAGAGTCCTGGTGTAGTCATTTTGAATCATACGTAAATGAAATCATCTCTGAAGGATTTGGCAAATATTTATTTTTTTCTGTCTCCAGTCTTTCAAAATAGCTACCAATTTGTTTAATGAAGCTGCTTCTAAGAGCACACAAAACGTGAGCACACAGCATAGATGAAACCCAGCGATCTGGAGTGATGGGTGATGCAGGAGTGAGCCCAGTGGGCGCCCTGGGTGGGCTGCCCGGCCACGGTGTCCCCCGACTGCCGGAGAGCATGGGAGGTCACCGCCCTGCAACTCGGGGCTCAGTGGCACAACAGAGTCCATATTGTGCCGTGCGTTCCATTTATCATGTAACAAAGAACTGTCAGAGTTCAGCACAGTCTTTAAGTAGATGACCTGCATCCACATCACCGTCCACCCTAAGTGGTGTGAATGTAAGGCCACAGTATGTACTGGGGACAAACCTCCTATGGATCATTTTACTGTCAACATCATTCTTCTGAAATAGGAAGTGTTTCTGAATTAAGGTTACAGACAGTTTTTCTTAAAATACTACATACATTATGACTAGTATGTTAAAATTATTTATACTTAAGATATTTTAATATCCAAAGGAAATTTACTACCAAATTATTACAGTCGATATTAATCAGTATGGCATGCTTATTCATTGATCCCATAGGTATGAGTATAGATCAGCATGATTTTAGTGTCTTCTCTTTCATTTTACTAAGTTAGGAACACAGCATTTACAGAACACACACAAACAGTGCACCACCCCAGGACTGGGACAGCTCCTTGGGCAGCTGCGCTGCAAGCTCCGCTAAGCCCCGCAGGGGAAAAAAGCCGATTCCAGTTCTTCCTCAGAAGGTACTGGTGGAGGTGGTCAGGCGCCTTCCAATATAGATCCCCAGTCCAATGGCCAGGAGGTGGGAGAGCAGCAGGGACGGGAGGAACACCTTCAGGAACTCAGCCGAGAAGATGCCGCCCTTCCTCATGACGCTCATGTTCCTCATGCTCAGGGCGGTGGCACGCCTAGGGTGTCTGAAGAGGAACTCCTTGAGGGGCACATTTTTCAGCCAGCTCGACCATTCCCAGATCCAGTCCGAGTTCTTCTTCAGGATCCTCTCCACCTCCTTTCTCCTCTCCAAGTAGTCTTCCTCGGACTGGATGCTCTTCTTCTCCCCGACGCTGTGGGAATCTGCCTCCGAAGCTCTGTTATTATCCTGTGGGGTCTGTGAGCGAGGCGGACTGTCACAGTGAGAGCTCTTGGAGCTGCTCCATCCAGATTCATGCTGGGCGTCCCGCAGTATTTTCTCCAGGTCACCATTATAGAGACAGACCGAGGCAGGGACGCCGCTCCCGTTTGAGCCATGGCTGAAGTGCAGCTCAACCCAAGAGCCCTGCAGGTTCTCCTCCTGCAGTCCGGGGATCCCGCTCTGCGACATGGCACCGGAGGGAAGGCGCTGCAGCCGACGGGCCGGAGCCCGGGTCGAGGTCGGGGCTGATAATCTCCATTTTATGGATGAGGAAACTGAGGCTCTATGAGTTTTAGTGACTTGAACTTAAGGACACGGGGGTAAAAAGTCTGGACTCCAAGCTGTCTGGCTGTGCCCCTGAGCTGCCATTCCCCTGCACTCCATGCCCCAGTCAGGGGGAGCCACGCAAAGCTCCTCTGTTTGGAAAGCTCTCCTCCTTTCCCACCCTATCTCCTGCTTACCCTTCAGGCCCGAGATGCCTCGGCCCTCCCAGGCTGGGTTAGGGTCCCTGCTCCCATGTTCTCCCAGCTCCTGCATTTGGCGGCCATAAACCCATTCACACTATACTGGATTGCCTGGCTAATCTGTCCAGATTGCCATGGGTCTAGAAGTCCCTCAACACATCAAGACAAACCTTGCTGATGCCCTCGGCCCAGCACTGAGATCCTCCTCACCCAGCTGTGCTCTGTAGCATGAGTGCTGACCCTCTCCTGCCCTTGGCCTGCTCCCCTGTGCCTGCCCAACCTCCCAGTGAAGCCAATGTCAGCCACAAGCATGGTAGGGTAACCAAACGGTCTTCTTTAGTGGCAGCCCTTTATCTGAGTGAGGCTTTTTGGAAGAGTCCTTATTATATTTTTTAACACCTACTTTTGGTTTTAGAGTAACTTTAGATGTACAGAAAAGTTGCCAAGACAGAACAGACAGTTCCTATACACCCCTCCCAGCTTCCCCTGCTGTTAGCAGCCTAGATCACTGAGGTACCTTTGTCCCAGCTAAGAAATAACATAAGTATCTTACAAGTAACTAAATCCAGCATTCTATGTGGGTTTTACCATTATATTTTTTTAATTCCACAAGTAATAGGTGAATACATTATTACAGGAATTTCAACAATGTTGGAAAATGAACAGTAAATTGGATCTCCCTCCCCCACTCCCCCCAGGCCCCTCCAACCTCAGGGTAATTCTTCTGTCCCCTCTATGGCATGCGTTCTTCCTGCCCCTTTTTCACCAGACAGTGGGGTGTGAGGTCTGGCGTTCAGCACCTCGGATGGCCAGCTGTTCACGCCTACCCTCTCCCCTCCTGCGCTGAAGGTGCTCCTTCCCCATCCCCGCCCATCCCTCTAAGCTCTGCTCAGCCCGTGCTTCCTCTGGGCAGCTCTGAGGAGCTACCTGCCCCCAGCAGCACCCCTTCCTCTCACTGTCCACTCCACCACATCTTTGCATCCCTCCCCTTGCCCGGCAAACAGCTGGGGATGATGACAGCACTCCCCACACCCTGCTGCTCCCTGCGCGGCCTCCAGAATGCAGGAGGTGACAAGACTGTGAGTGAAGAAGTGAGCCAGGGCTTTAGGAAAGTCACCCGGATGCAGCCAGCAGTGGGCAGTGGCTCCAGTCCTGTAATGGATGACCGGGGCTGCAGAGCTCAGGCGAGGTTCACCTATCCACACCCAAGGCTGGTTTCTACACAAAACTTCCACCTGGTGTGGCCTCTGTTCTTTTCTGCCTTGGCCTCAACTCACCCCAGCCAGAGGAGGAGGCTGTACCCCAGCCTTTTCTGTGTCATCTATACCTCCGTCCACAGCACTCCCTAGAGGGCAACCTGACCACTATTGCTTCAGCCTACCTGCCCTCATCAAAGCGTCTTCTGCTTCCCTCCCAGCCTCCGGTAGGCTGCTACCACCCACCATCACAGAGAACTTATCTTGTCCTCCTCCCCACTTATGCCAGTGAGCCTACCCCATGCTCCCCCACAAGGCCTGGGCATAGGGCTGTGCCTGAAAGGGGGCTGCTGCCTGTGGTAGCAACCCAGCGCCCTGAGGAGCCGATCATCCTGACCTGCCACTGGCCAGTCCATTCATCCCCTTGCCTCAGTGCTGTGCCTGCCTCTGCCAATCCCAGCAAAAGAAAGGAATCCTGGTGAAGAAAACGGCTGGTACCACTCCCAGTGTCTGTTCCTCTGGCCTCTGAGCCTTCTCTGTCTCCGGTCTCCCCCCGGCTGCCTAGGCCAGAGGACAGAGCAAGAAATGGAAGGGCTCCTGGGGCTGAGGAGCGATGGAGGTTCTTGCCCAGGGAAGAGGACAGTGAGGGGGACCTCAGTGGGTGCCCCTAATTCCAGGGTGACAGGGTTGTGCCCCCAGGGTCACCGGGGTAGGTCTGCAGCAGAAAGCCAAAGCCCTGGGGGGTCCAGGTCTCCCGCCCTGTGAGGCCCAAGCCTGGGAGAAGCTCTTTAGCTGGACAGCCAGGGGCTGGGGGATTGCGGCATTGAGGCAGGCTGCTGAGGCAGGAGATGAAAGGCCATCAGGCGGGGCTGGTGGAGGCGTGGGGAGGGGGGAAGGAAGATAAGCATCTGCAAGGGCTGCCAGGTGTAGACATGAGTGTGGAGGACGCGGGAGGAGTTTTAGCCCTTGGGATCAGGGCAAGGAGCCTGGATTTGGAAGGGTGCCCTGTGAGGTCATCTTGTCCAGCCTTATGCCCCCAGGCACTCGGCCCCAAACCAAGCAGGCCCTGCTTCTGGGGCTTCTGGGCTGGGTGCTCCTCCCTGGCCCAAGCCTGCCCACCTTGCACCCGTTCCAAGCAGTGGTCCCCAAAATCTCACTCAAACCTTCTTTGCGTTTACAGATACTGTCCTCCATGGGGAAGGTCAGCTAGCCCTGGCCCTTGGCCAGTCACTTGCTAACTGCTGGAGTACGTCGGGTAACTCAGGACTGGGTCCACCTTGGCCACCTTTTCCCTTGATTCTGAATTTCTTTTACTTTAGTTGTAGGATTATTTGTCCATGTCCCCCAACCCCACTTTTAAGAGAAGTTTCTAGACACCACGGAGAAAAGGAAAAGGAAATGTCTTGCTTCCTAAACATTTCTCTTAACCTTTCTTCAATATTCTAGACCCACACCTACTACTCTGTCTAGGCTGCCATCTTTTCTCACCCAGAAATTATTTCAACAGTCTTCCCTAAAAGTCCCCTCACCCCTCTCTAATTCCCAAAGTTTCCACAGCAGTCTTAAGCTTGAGAATCTAATCATGTCACTTCTCTGCTCAATACCCTTCAAGGCAGCATTGCCCATAGAGCTGGCCAGCCAGAGGCCCCCTGGCTCCAGGCCCCTCAAAGCATAATCAGGGCACAGATGCTCCATTTTTTAAAGAGCCCTAGGATGTCTAGGTTATTTGGGATCTAGTATTGAGTGCTTCGTGGCACAGTCCATAACTTTAAACATCCACTTTGAGATTAACACCAATCAAGCCTAAGGAATGCTTCTTGTTCTAAGTTCTTAAAACCAAAAGCAACTGTGTCTATAAGCCCTCAGTGTGTGCCTCTGCCAGTAACAGAGATGGACATTGTTGGAATAAAAAGTACATGGACATTCTTGCTAAATCCTTCCTTCCAGATAGCATACATGTGACAGATTATTGAAAACAATTCAACAGTAACGCAATGGATTTTAAATGGATAACAAAATGTCCTAGTAGTGTCACAGATCTGTGTTCTTGCTTCTCTTTGAGTTCCAGAAGGACACACAATTAGTATGGTATTCAGAACAGATGCACATTGCAAGTGAGAAACATTTTACTGTACGAAATAATTCATACAATTCTTAATTTGTTTAAATGTAGGCCTAGAGGTAATATACAGGAAATTTGATGGTGAATCTTTATCTTGGTAATTTGAAGGGTGATGAACCACTGGAGTTACAAAGCACTGTATTTTATAAAAGTATCTCGTCATTTAACTATACTTACAGCATTTTAAATGAAAAATTTAAGCTTAGATTTATCTCAATGATTTTAATTTACTATTTTGATATTCATTAGCTATGATTTGCATTTTGCCTCTTAACTTTAATAGTTACATTATTTTAGTCACATAAATATTCAGCCATATAAAAACCATGGTTTTATGCAAAAATTTTCAATTTTGTTGTTATAAAGGCTTATTGTCAAGGAAGGCAAGAAGAACATATTTATTTACTTAGCAATTTGGTATCTTGATTTGTGGGCCTCTGTATTGCACTCTTGTCCTGGGCCCCACACACTTTAGGGGTAGCCAGCTTCATTGCCCACCATTTCCTGCTGGACTCCTTAGCCTGGCCCACAAAGGCCTCCACAGCTGTCCTCTGCCTGCCTCTCCAGGCCCATCCACTGGATGTCTTCACACAGTCCTGGACTGGGGGGTTTTCCAGAACATGCTGTGCCTGCTCTGTTCCTCAGACAACATCTCCTTCCCTCACCATTGTTCCAGGGGAAAATACCATCTCCTACTTCCAGTCTCAGCCCACATGTGCCCTCCCTGGCTCCAGCAGGCTCACAGGTGCCCGTCTGGAGGCTCTGCTGTTCGGAAGGTGCCTGTTAAAGAGGTTCTTCCACCTCAGGGTGAGGCTTGTAGGCTGCCTCCTGCAGGCAGCAGCACCTTCGTGTGGATGGAGTGGACAGGGGTTCCAGGAGCAGGCAGGCGCCTCAGTGGAGGAGGGCAGGGGCTCCGTGTGGTGACCAGGGCTCAGTTCCGACCCTCAGTGCTGGGACCACAGGAGCTCTGATACCTCTGAAGTCTGGAGGACTTGGACCCTATAGAAACTAAGAATCTAGGGAAAACTGGCTGAGACATTAGTCTTTGCCCAGGTCTAAACCACCTGAGTGGGCCCCAGAAAGCGCAAGGTTGGCAGAAACCCACTGACCTCCCTGCCAGCTGCCTTGTGGCTGTGGGGTGGAGGGAGGAAAGGGGAGGCAGGACGCCAGGATGTCGTCGGAGCGGGTGGTGGGGTTCAGACGGTGGAAAGAGGCAGGGGCCAGTGAGGTCTCTGCTCCCTGAGGGGGGGCCTCTTGCTGACAGAAGAGCGGGCAGGTGGATTTTGAGGGAAGCACTGCCTTCTCTCTCCTCCGAGGACAGCTTCAAACGTACTGGAACCCCAGTGTTTATCGGGCACTGTGACGTCCCAGATGCTGTGCTGATCTCCTTCCCTCACTTTCCCTAGAGAACCACAGCCTGCATGTCAGGGTGGCACGAGAGAGTACCCAGTCGGGTCCTCCTGCTCGACAAAAGGGGAGACTGAAGCCCACGCAGGGGTGTGACTTGCCTTGAGGTGAGTGAGAGGTGGGGTCCAGACCGGAGTCTGGGTCTACTGGCTCCTTGTCTAGGGTGCTAGCTCACCACCCCTGGGACCTGCCGGTCGAGGACATTCTCCACCCAGAGCCTGTGGAGCCTGTAGCAACGAGCCCCACCCCACGCCCCCAACATGGTAGCAGCCCTACTGGAAAACGTCCTGACTCTGCACCCTCTGCAGCGCCCCCACTCTTCGCATGGCCCCTAATGCACAGCAGCAGGGGAAGTAGAGGGGGCTCAGTTTGGCCTCATTTTCCCCTTTCTTCCATGGACTGGAGAGCCTCGCCTCCCTGGGCCTTGCCGGGCCATCTCCCCTCTGCGTCCTGCGTCCCCATCCAACTTTCAACTCCTCTAAGGCCCAGCACCCTGAGATCCAGCTTCCTTTAACACAAAGGCCAGAAGAGTCTGAGATCCCCCCCGGGACCGGGAAGTGAGAGGCTTTGTTTTGTCCCGTTTATTTTTTCATCGTCATCATCATCACCATCCTCACCACAACGTGGATAACATTTGAGGGCCTACTCAGTGCTCACCACTGTGCTTTCAAGCGAGTACTATAATCTGCTTCATTTTTCAGCTGGGAGAACGGAGTCCTGAGGGGTTGACACTGAGGTCCACGGGAAAAGCACAAGTGCCACCCTGTATCCAGTCCCCCTGAGCCACAGCCACCAGCTCCTTCTGCTTTTTCTGGAACACCTGAGGAACCTGCTGTGACCCCTGCCCATGCCCTGCTCGTGCTCTAGGGTGGCCACCTGGTCAGCCAGAGAGGCCAACGGGGCTGGGTGTGAGCACAGACCATCAGACAGGGAGCTGGGCTCCCTCCTCTCTGCCTCCGCCCTCTTACTCATCCCGCTCATGGCTGTGCCCACAGGTGGCTCCGGATGGACAGACACTCCACTGACAGCCCCTGTTCATCTGGCCAACAGACATGGATTTGAGCTCCTTTTATGTGCCCCACACTGCACTGGGCACCGGGCAGACAGGTCCAGGCCTGGATTCCATCCTTCTGGAGCTCACTGTCCAGGGTGGGTAATGGAGAAGAAAGCAGTCACCTCCATTCATTCTACAGATGATGACACACAATACTGTGTGCTGGGTACTGTTCTAGGCACCAAGAATACAGAAATGAACAGAACAGCCCTGCATCTCTGCCCTCAAGGAACTCACATTCTAGAAAAGGGAGACAGGAAGTAAAAAGAAATAAATAAGGGATATAGCCTGTAGAAGGGGATGTGTGCTGTAAAGAAAAATAATGCAAGGAGGAAGGTCAGGAAGGGGGAGTGTGGCAGCAATTACATCACAAATCTAATTGGGGGCTCCAGGGGAGTAGAGAAAGGACCTCAGATCCCTCCTTCACTTGTGCCTGTTCCCCTGGGAGGACATGGGACAAGAACCTGGGAATTTTGAGCACCTGAGTCTCAGGCCAGTGGTCCTAAATGCTGTAGCATAGAACAGGCACGGTGGGGCCTCCTGAAATGACTTCCAGTGCCCACCTGTGTGAGAACCTGCAGTCTCTGGGAATACCCAGAATGCACAGGGAACAGGCATGCACACATGTGGGCAATGTTCACTTGGACATGGATGTGCATGTGGGTATGGGCCTCGAATGGACACCCAGTTACTGGGCACCTGTGATATTTCAAGCACCCTGCCCCCAGGAGGCTCAAAGTCTCATGGCAAAGAAGAGAAGCCATGAAATAAGTCAGTGTGAAGGCAAGGAATGTTAGAGGTAGAACCACGGAGCAAGAGATTACAGAAAACTCCCAGGAGCAGCAGAAGTTGAACCAGGCTGGGCCGCCTTCACTAGATTAAGCTCAGGTAACTACAGCTTATCTATAATGAAATGAAAGGGGCTAGCTCAGAAGGTAGTAAGTTCTTATCACTGGAACCTCAAAGGAAGGCTTGCCAACTTGCATGGGGGATTCACAGACTGGACTAGGGGGTAGTGCTGACGTCCTTTAAGGTTACTTGGGGTTTCGTGAAGTTGAGGGAGCTACTAAAGAACTGGAGGAAGGAATGGCAGGTGAAGCACCTGAGCTTTATCTTAGAAGGTAATGGGGAGCCATGTAGGATGTTGGGTCAGCCGAGAGACACAGGGAAAGCTGAGCCTCAGGAAGATTCATCAGATATCACCTATCCTGGACCAGATTGGAATAAGGATATCCATAGAGGGGAGGAGAACAATTACTGTACTAGCCAAATGCACCAATGTGTGTGTGGGGCCTGTGAACACATATGCAATGTGTGTGGGAGCAGAAATCTCCAGTGACTAGACAACCATCAAATGAGAGATTGTTGAATGGTGTCCAGTCTTAAAGCAGGAGATGACCTAAATGATCTCTCAGCCCCATTTCCAAGGTTTTAGGCACGTGCACGAGTGCATACGGGTGTGTGTGCGCACTCTCTTTATTCATTGATGGTGCTCTGTATGGTGGTTAGCAGGAATGCACAGTGTGTTGGTATTGGTGTTAGGGTGGCTTTGCGGGTCTCTATTTGGGGGGTGTAGCTGCGGAGAAGACATGCATGCCCCTGTGAGAGCCTGTGGTGAGGGGAATTCACAGATTCTGCTGTCATAGGTGTGACACACAGGTGTGTGTGGGTACGGGTGGGTAGGGGGAAGGACTGGGGAGGTCCAGACAGTGTGTGAGGCTTTGTGAGTAAATTTTTCTTATGCAGACTCAGGTAGAAGACTAACCTGGTGTGTGGCTCCAGGTGACAGCCTAGTTTCCATCTGGTCTGGGAATACCTGTATTGAGGATTGTTATGAGCCAGGGGTTTTTCTGCACACCAGCCCACTGAACCATCCCACCACCCTACATGGTATATTGTTCTCATTTCAACAAGTGAGGAAGTCCAGGACCCAAGAACCTTGGCCAGAGTCACAGTGCCAGCCAAAGCAGAACCAGAGCCCAGGACTCCTGACTCCGGGCTGGCACTCCTGCCTCAGGGGCCACCTCGGGCACCCTGAGCGGTGTGTCACAGAATGTGGCTGCAGGAGACAGCACTCCCTTTAAACATCTCCCAGGCACCCATGTATCTTCAAGATCCAACATCCACCTGCCTAAATTCTCTGCCCCTATACCTGCCCTCACTCTGAGCCCTCCTGCACCCCCAGGGGCATTCGTTCCCCACAGATCCACATCCCCCTAGCAACCTCACAGTGGTGCCCCGCAACAGCTTGCCCCTGTATTATCCATATGTTTTTATCCCCAGCTGGGTGCTCAGTTATTGTTCTGGCTCAGGAGGGCAAGGGGGCGGCTTGTGGGCGTAGCGACGCCGGGCTGTCTGCTCAGTTCTCCGCTTGTTATTACCTCTCCTCCAGGCTCCCATTAGACTGCCTGCCCCAGAGGCCTGTGAAGGCTCCCTGCATCTCGGCACCTTTGTTCCTTAATTATCACTGGGGAGCCCACTCACCTGCCAGCCACTTTCTAAGAAGCTGTCTGGCTTCCCTTCCCTGCGTGCACTGCCAGGACCTAAGCCCCTACCCCCTTGGGGCCTGGGCTGGTGTCTAGCAGCAGCTTGCCCCAGGCTTCAGGAGGCTCCAGAGCCTCAGGCCTGGCCACTCCCCAGCCCCTGGTATAAACCCTTTCTTTTTGAGAGCCCCGCCCAGGCCAACACTGTCTCCCATCTCAGAGCTGGAAGGGACTTAATGCTATCTTCTGTGTTCAACAACTGCCTCTCTACTTACTGCCTGGGTTGGGCCACCTACAAAAGGTACTCAATGAATATTCAGTGAAGGACAATTAACTTCTGCAGCCTTTACTTGACTGCCTCCCCAGTGGGCAGCTCACTCCCTCCTGAGGCAGTCCATGCCACCTGGAGACTGGTTGGGACTTTTATAAAACCACTCACCCACAACCTCTCCTCAGGGCCCTGCTTTTCATGGCCTTAAGTCTAGAGTCTGCTTTACTGTGTTTCTGAGTCTGGGTCTCAGTCCTGTCTTTCTGCTGGGGGCTCACTGATGCCCACCTCAGGCAGGAAACCTCCCAGCATGAGGCTCTGTCCAGGGGGCACTTGATTCTCCTCTTAGGCTTGGAGACTCACCCATGCCCAACTCTAGCCCCTGGCTTTCCTTCTGTCTCAGGCCTCTGGCTGCTGTTCTGGGGAGAAGGCGAGGGGGAGGGGGCACTAGGGTGAGAGCCCTTGGGTCAAACAAGCTCTGACAGCTGACAACAACCACAGAGGAGGGTGCTTGCTACACACACAGGCCAAGGCTGTGGGAGGGAAGGCCTCAGGGAGTCGGACTGGAGACTGGAAACTCCCTTCCCCAGCCAGCTTGCTGCCCTGCCTCCTGACCCTTGCACAACTCCCGGCCTCAATGCACCATGGGTACAAGGGAGCCAGAAGTAAGCTGACCCATGTGGGTACCTGGGGCATCCTCATGTCAGGTCAGTGCCTGCCCTAAGCTCTTGGGGCACAGCGTGTCCCTCCAGGGGAATGG